ATTTGCATGAAAGGTGCCATAATTTCATTGAATAATTTCAGTTTCCTTTAGGTTTTGTATTTTTTACCCCTTCTCGGATCATCTCCAAATTTCGCATGAAGGTGCGTTATCGTAAAGCGAAGACGCCAATCGTTTTTGGTGTGGGCGGAGTCATCGTTGCCATGGTAACAACATTTTTTGTTGAAATATTTTAGAACTTGTAACTTCTGCAGTTTTTACCCGATTGTCATGAAATTTGGCTCACAGGACCAATATATACATATATATATATATAGGACATGTTATATTGGCCCTGTGTGCCAAATTCCATGACAATCGCAAAATGTTGTTACCATGGCAACGATGACTCCGCCCACACCAAAAACGATTGGCGTCTTCGCTTTACCATAACGCACCTTGGCATCTTGGGGAGAAGGTGTGCACAGTACCAAAACCAGGTTACTGCGACCTTTATTTCACCTTTACCTTGACCTTGATCATATTTCCCTTCTGCTCTCTAACTCGGCCCCTAATTGACCTAGCTAGCGCGACCAAACTTGTTATGCTTACACATCTTGGGGAGAAGGTCTGTCGCATACCAAAACTACCACTGCCCTGGACCTTAGTTTGACCTTGACCGTCGACTTACATTTCCTCTTCGGCCTCCTAGGGTAACCAGATTCCATATACTTGCACATCTGAGGCAGACCAGTTGTCTAACAAACCTTTGTCTTTGTGACTTATTTAACTTTACCTAGCTGCCTTCTACGTCCTTACAGAGATATTCCATGCATACTAGATCACGGGGGATAGATGTAGTTGGCGACAACTGCTCGTTTCAAGTTTTTACAATTGCATGATATTAAAAAAAGGGGGTGGGGTAGTGGTAAAGTGGGTGAAGTAATAGTCAATAAATGGGTGATATGGCTAAAGATACGTATTAAGTTTGCAAATGACTGGAATTGAATGGCTATATTTTTTGTATGGCGTTTCCTACTCATCAAATAAAATTATGGATGGGTGAAAATAGTTTTGTTAGTGCAATTTTTGTTAGTGCAAACATGAAATCAGTTACTGGGTACTTGGTCTAGTCATTTAGTTGTTATTTTTCCCAAAATGCTATACTATATACATTGCTGTTACACGTCTGCGTCTGGCAAGAACAGGGGGGCTTTTTTCCAATTTAAATGGCCTTAATGCATGTTTATTGGCATAAGAAAAGATTTGCATTTCATCGTCTTGGAATACAATCCTCTTGTTGATGGTATTGAATATCTGCGTGGTGCGCAACATATAAAGTTTATTCAGGGTCTATATGAACGCATGTGCGCACGTACGTACACATGCACAACTGCACAATCACGCGCACAGACACACACACACACACACACACACACACACACACACACTACGCACGCACGCACGACACACACACACACACACACACACACACACACACACACACACACACACACACACACGACACACACACACACACACACACAC